TGTCCTTGTGCTGGGGGCTCAGAGCTGGACACAGACTCCAGGGGAGGTCTCACAGGGCAGAGCAGAGGGGCAGGGTCACCCCTCTCCAGCTGCTGGCCTCGCTGGCTGTGCTTTGTGCCCAGAGGGTGGCTCGTTGCCCCAGGCCCAGCCCTGCTCCCCCACGGCCACCAGGCCTGGGCTGCTCTCCTCGTGTTCCACGTGCTCCCCTCGGCGTTTGGGGCACGGGGAGCTCCTCCACGGCCTGAGGGAAAGGGGGAAGGAGAAGGTCACAAACTTGGCTTAGCTTCATCAGTTTGCAGAAAGCGAGGCTGGCAAACACAAACCAACGAGCTCAGGGGTGGCTCCTGCCATGGACCACACCCGAATTCTGAACAGGAGCTTCAGGGGAGAGATGTGACTCTGGGACAGATTCCTGACCGACGTGTGCTGGGCAGGAGAAGGACTGAGCACCAAAATGTCCCTGCCTGGGACAGGGTTCTGCTGGTGCATCGTCACACGTGGCACCCCTGCCCTCTATTGGTCTTCAGTGGCAGGTCTGGTCTGCCACGAGTTCAGCCTTTTGGGTTATTTGGGGGTTTATATACATATGTAAGGAAAAACTCTCCCTCGGGCCAGAGGAGCCCCCAGGAGCTGAAGCAGGTGCTGGGGGCTGCGTGGGGCTGAGCTGTCAGGAAGGAGGAGTGGGCTCTCGGGGTGGGGATTACACTCTGCAGGCCTGGATAAGATCCTGTGTCAACAGAAGGTCACTGGCCAGTCCTTTTGGGGCTAAGCAGGTGGCTGACAGCCTTTGGAAATGGGAGGTGCTGCCAACAGCAGCCCTGCAGCCCAGGGTCAGCTGGTTTTACTCATTAGTGGCTAAATGCCAACACATTCCTCCTCCTGTGGGAGCAGAGGGGTGACAGGAGGTGTGGCCACCTCTGTGGTGACAGGGCTCAGCTCACGTCGTGTCACACCAGCTCCCTGAGGGGGACCATAGAATCACTGTGGTTGAGAGGACCTCTGGGATCCTCAAGTCCAGCCTTCATCCCAACATCTCCCCAACCACCAGACCAGAGCCTCAAGTGCTGCATCTACTCATTTTTTGAGCCCCTCCAGGGATGGTGACTCCACCACCCCCCTGGGCAGGCCGTTCCAGTGCCTGACCACTCTCTCAGGGGAGAAATTCCTCCTAATATCCAATTGAAACCTCCCCTGGTGCAACTTGAGGTCATTTCTCTTGTCCTATTGTTAGCAATGTGGGAGAAGAGACCAATAGCAGCCTCACTACAGCCTCCTTTTAGGTAGTTGTAGATATCATTAAGGTCTCCTCTCAGTCTTCTCTTCTCCAGACTAAACCACCCCAGTTTGCTCAGCTGGTCTCCACAAGGAATGTTTTCCAGCCCTCTCACCCCCTCGTTGCCCCACTCCAGCATCTCCATGTCCTGTGGTGCCCAAAACTGGAGACAGGACTCAGGCTGTGGCCTCCCCAGTGCCCAGTCCAGGGGCAGGATCACCTCCTGCTGGGCACACAGGTTCTGACCCAGGCCAGGGTGCCAGTGGCCAGCTGGGCACACTCTGCACCCAGTGTGGGCACCACCCAGGGCAGCACTGGGGGGACATGAAGGAGCTGCACCCGAGGGAGAGGAGGAGGAAGCAAAATGCAGCTTGTGCTGCCAGAGGGGCTCAGCAGGGAGCAGCTCAGAGGGGCCTTTGCCCTGCTGGCTGCAGCGTGTGCCGTGGGGAGCCCGGGATCCACAGCTCCTGGGTGCTCTGCTGGCACCCTAAATAACTCCTCCCTGACCAGAATTATTGACAACCCTGCTCAGTCCCACCACCTCTGAACCTCCACGCTTGGCTGGGGGTGTCCAGGTCCAGCTCCTGCAGTGTCCTGCCATGGCAAATGGGTGCCTTGGCTTCTGGGAGCAACATCAGCTGCATGTAAAACCATATAAAGCATAGTAAAAGATGGGGGGAGGTGGGGGCTCAGTTTGGGTGGAGCAGAGGAACTGCTGAAACTCTCAAGCCCGTTGCAGTGCAGTTGAGCTGCACGCCCTGCCCAGCCCCAGGGGGCCCAGGCTGACACCAGCACAGCTCACACTGACCCCTCGGGGGCTCTCCTCTGCAGTTCAGGTGCTGTGGGGTCTCCAACTACACGGACTGGTTCGAGGTGTACAACGCCAGCCGCGTGCCCGACTCCTGCTGCCTGGAGTTCAGCGAGAACTGCGGCCTGCACTCCCCGGGCACCTGGTGGAAGGCGGTGAGTGGGGGTCCCGGGGCTCACCTGCACCCCTGGCTCTTCACCTCCCAGGAAACAGTCACCACATGAGTATTCTGATGAGCTGAAGGCTTTTGTTCCAGGAGGCTTCGAGCTGCTGTTCCACACTGCAGGCTCTGGAGCACAGCCCAGCTGGGAAGTGGCAGGATTGGCCTTGTTCATGTCCCACCTCGCAGGTGGCATTAAAGGAACCAGTCCACAAGCCCTGGAGCTTGTCATGGCCCAGGCAGGTGTGAAGCAGGAGTCCTGTGTGAGCCTGGAGGGCTCTGCTCCAGCCAGGAGCCTTCAGGGGGTCCCACAGCACAGGAGGAGAGCAGGACCTGCCCCACGGCATCACCAGCAGTGGGGTCTTTCTGCAGGGAGTTTCTGCACTGGCCTGCAGTCAAATTCAAAACCCCACGGGACAATTTCCCTGCAGTGTCCTCAGCAGGATCCTGCCAGAGCAGCTCAGTAGAGCCTGGAGCCTGCTCTGAAACGAGCTCAGCAGTAATTTGTGCTAACCACAGGCAGAGCCCCTGCCCGGGAGGGGGCTGGCACTGGCAGAGGCTGAGTGCCAACCAGCCACAGCTCCCCTCAGCCTCTTGGGTTGTCCCAGGTCACACTGTGAATTTAAGGGCTTAAAAGTTCCTCCTCTGTTTTATTTGGGGCACTAAGAAGAGAAGCACAGGCTATCACCACCTCTTCTGGTGGGTAGATAGATAGATAGATAGATAGATAGATAGATGCATGGATGGATGGATGGATGGATGGATGGATGTGTGAGCATTCTGTACCTGTGTGACAGCCACTGACTGAAGGCCAGATGATTTCTGACCATGTACAGTGGTGACACAGAGGCCACAGTTGTTGCACAAGGTCACCTTGCTGACATGATTTATTATTTACACGTTATTTAAAGCAAGGTTTCACATGCCCCAGTTCCATCCACTTCAAAACGGGGCCAGGAACAGGAGGTTACAGCCACAGCAGAGTTTAAAGCAGGGAGGAAATACATACATATTTTATACATACATTTTATAGGAAGTATTTGTTTTCCTGCACCATGGAGGAGGGGAAGGGCTCATTCAGGAGTTCTAACTGCTCCTAGCTGCACTTTAAAGGACAAAGAGGACTCAAAGCCATGGTTTATTATATTACTGGCCCAAATTATCTGGGGAGGTCCTCAGGCAGCATTTTGAAGGCGCTCTACTTGGTGCATCATGACAACCCACGTTCAAGCTTCACCCCAGAAACACACAGGAGCTGCTGCAACACTGAAATGAAAAACCCCAGGTTGCAGCAGAGCCCAGGCTGGCTCTGCTGTCTGTGCATGCCCAGGGGAGGGGAGAGGGGAGCTGTGTGTTTATGGCTAATCCCATCTTCTGGGTTGTTTTCTTTCCAGCCTTGCTACGAAACAGTGAAAATATGGCTCCAGGAGAACTTACTAGCAGTGGGGATCTTCGGCCTGTGCACAGCTATGGTGCAGGTACAGTCTGAGAGCAGTGTTCTAGTTCTGGTTCACTGTCACTACACAGGAGCCACACCCCACCCCAGTACAGTTTATCAATTTAAGTTCTCATCTTTCCAAGTTTTGCACCCTGTTGAAGCACAGCTTGGCAAGATTTAAGCCTCTTCTAACTGAGTTGAAGTGCTACGTACAGCTCTGTACAGAGATTTATACCCAGTTTCCCCCTTTATTGATAAAGGAGCATGCAGGTCTCAAAATACCAGCAGGAACTATTCATGGAAAGGCTAAATTTTAAGTGGACAAATTAAGTGAATTAATAGAAGAGTATAGAACTCATAAAAAATAAACTCTACCTGTGCCAACCTTATTCCAGTGGCAGTGTTTGCAGTGGTGTGGCAGGAGCAGCAGTGACCTCCCACCACAGCTCAGGGCTGACCCTGCTGCCCCCCCAGGCCACGGCTGCAGAAATAACCACACAGCCCCCACAGCTCGTCCCCCTCTTTGGTGTCTCACTAGGTAAGGGGGTTGCTTACTGAAAACCCTTGTTTGGTTTTTTTCCTCCTAGATTCTGGGGCTCACCTTCGCCATGACCATGTACTGCCAGGTCGTCAAGGCAGACACCTACTGTGCATAGACACCCGTCCCAGCCCTTCTGCTCCTCCTCCAAAGGACACAGGAGAAATCTCCTTCATGCTCATTCGTCTGACTTTTTGGTTTTTTTCTCCCCTTTGTACTATAAACTGTGTATAATGCTGTAATAATTTCTGAAGGTTTTGTGACTCACTTTACTGAATCCCACTTGACCGAAGGAGGACGGGAAGAAAAAGTCAGTACTGGAAGCAGCACAGGTAAGAAGCAGCCTGGTCTTCAAGGAGAAGAAAACCTCTGGAGAGCAAGAGTTCCTCCTCACAGCCCAGGGCGAGGCCAGGGAGGCTGCTTGCGAGGGGCTGATCTGCAGACTGACCTTAGGAAAAGGTGGCACTGAGGCGACTGCTGCGAGACCTCCCAGGCCAGCTGCCCAGGCTGCAGCCTGCAGGAGGGCATGGAAAGCTCTGGAAAGCTCTGGAAAGCTCTGGAAAGCTCTGGAAAGCTCTGCCCTGGGGAGCGGAGGGGCCGAGGGGCTGGCACTGCAGGCAGCTGGAATATACCCCAGGTGCTCACAGCTGGAGTGGAGCTCGAGCAGCCCCCTCCAGGGGCCTCGGCCCATCCCGTCGCCGGGCGAGGAACATCTTCAGAAATAGGTTATTTGAGAGGAGTGGTTTTAATCTGCTGTGCAGCAGAGTTGGGCTTTTGACTGGGATCTGTCCAGGGGGTCTGGCTGTTGAGGGAAAACACTGCTGGCCACTGTCTCGTTCAGTGCCAGTGGCGTGTGGATGGTGGGCTGCATATGTAATGTATCTATTCCATTCTCATACACGCTGTTCTGGAAGGAGGTGACAATACCCAGCCTCTAGCTCAGCAAGGGGGACCCTTCCTGTCCCATTTTACATTCCAACTGAAGTCACCAAGTGTTAGTTCTCGCAGAGGCACCGTCACCTGCACCTCTGGGGAGCAAGTCCTTGCTTTCAGCTGTATCTTCATTTCAGCACCAGGCTCTCGCTCTCATTCTGCTCGGGGGTTTTTTTTGTGTTTTGTATTTTTTTTTTCTATCATCCCTGCTTCAAGTTAGTCTGCCAAGAAATATCACTCATTTCCACACGTGAAGATCCGTACAGAGCTGTCAGCTGCTCCTTCCCTCAATGTCACCATTTCATTAATTTACTTTGGGATATCATCATCTGCAGGTATGATGGAGTTGGCCTCGCTGGGGAAAAAGCTTTTGCACGTTGCTTATTTTTTTCTGAGAGTTATTAAGACTTCAGATGGGTTTATGCATAGCTCTCCCCCCACCCCAGCTGCAGGCTTACAGCAGCCAAAACACATCAGTCTGTGTTAGAACAGGAGGCACCTCCCAGTTCTTTTTTTCAGCCCCATCTCCCTGTGCCCAGCTGCTGGCTGGAATGTGCCCCACACTTTCAGGAATCTGCAAAAATCAAGGTCATGGCTTTCCTTCACCAGAGAACAGCCTCCAGCTGTCTGATTTCCCCACCCCACACTGGTGGCTGAAGTAGCTGACGTGGTGCCTTTCTGTGCACACCTTCTCGTGAGGAGGTTGAGGACCAGACATTTCCCTGACTCATGTTAACAGAGCTCAGCCCAGCCCGAGGTTAAACCACGGGAGCAGCCCAAGGAAGAGACTCTGCTCTGGGTGCTGCCATCAGCAGAGGCTCAGGGGCTCTGCTTCCTGAGCCCAGCCTGACCTGCCACTGGCCCTGCCCCATGAAAGGTGGTCCAGGTTTGCTCCTTCCCTTTGCTCTGTTCCTTCTTGGCCACACAGCCACGACCCCAGGTTAGATGTACTGTTAGTTCTCCACGTGGTTTCTGGTTCGTACCCACAAGTGCTCCTGCTGACAGCTCAGAGTTCCCACCACTGAGAAGCAGCACAACAGAGCGATGAATACATCAATAAAACATGGATTTTTTCAGAAAGATAAAAGGTAGACAAGTCTATTTGTAGTGATCCCTGCCATTAAAGATCGACACAGAGCCAGCAGCCTGACAGTGCTCAGCTGACAGGAGCAAACCCTGGTGCAACTCTCACCAGTCTGCCTGGAGGTGCTGCAGGGGGAGGAGCTCCCACAAACCCCCCGCCCGAGGGTCTCCCAGCAGCAGGAGCTGAACTCCTGGAGAAGAGAAGACTGGGGGTGCTGGAGCTCAGCGAAGCCGACGGGGGAGATGCAGGGAGAGGTGGAGGCTGAGGGCAGCTCCCTCAGGGCAGTTCCCTCGAATCATGTTCCACGGCGTTGGTGTCTTTACAACAAGATAAACTGCCTTGTTTTCTAACACCACAGGGAGCGTGAGCACTGCTCGCTGTGTAAACCTGTCACTGAACAGACTACAGCACTAACTGCTGAAAGGAAAGGACAGAAGGAACAAACCAACCAGGCCACAGATTGCTGCTCTTTTTTTTTTTTAAACACTACCCTTACACTGCCAACTGAGATGCTTCTACAACTTGTTTATCGTTTGAACTCGACTGTTTTCTGTGTTTGATGTTATTAACTCTCTTCACACAGGCCAAGCAGATGTTACGGTGCCTAAAGCATTACCAGCACAATCCAATTTCAAACCTCTGAGCACACAGCATACAACAAGCCTCAGATTTCCTGCATCTCTTTCTAAAAGGGTATTTCGTGGTAGGTAACAGCAACAATCATTTTTTTTTTAAAAAAAAAACAAAAAAAAAGGCTAGTTCCATGGGATGTGTAAAACCTCATGCTGGACTGGTTGATCTGAACGAAACAGCCTCCAGTTCCTCAGCCCCTGTGAAGGCTCCTGGTCCCTCCCGTGTGCAGGGTTGCCATTGCTCCCAGCAGTGTCTGCTCACCTGGAGTCACGTTTTCTGCACTGCTTTCCCCTCTCACCTGGGACACCAAGGAGGACTCGATGCATTTCAGGTCAAGGCAGAACAAAGGCCCTGAGGGAGAGCAGCTCCTGCCTTGCACCCGCTGCTCCAGTGCTGGACGGGAGGCACAGGGCACCTGCACCGGCCGAGCCCGGCCACAGCAGCACTCGGCTCTGAGGCTCCAGTAGACTCCTGGCTTTTCATCTTCACAATTATAATACTAGATATAGCTATATATTTAATGGAATATGGGCTATTTTCCTGTACAGTGACTGTCAGTAGTGGCCAGATCTTATTGCTTGTACAACAGAATTATTTAGCTCCACATCTTAGAGTGCAGAGTCACCGAGAGTCACTCCAGCCTCTGTTCTACAAACACTTTGTTCCTCCCCCTCAAGTAACATGAACTTGTAAAGGTTTATTCTCCCATTTAGTAACTGCCACCCGAATGCAGCGTTGTGTGATTTATCAGGCAGAGAGGAGGGAGCTTGCTCAGAAGCTGTGGGAGCATTTGCTCTGGCACGGGCAGCGTGGCTGCGGTGCAGCTCCAGCCACCCCAGCCCTCCCCTGAACTGACGGGGGCCGTGGCTCAGCTCCTCTCCCACTCCCACAGGAGGTGGGTGCTGGGGAGAAGGCTGAGGCTGTAGCTCACCCCGAGCCTGCCTGGGGTGCTGGAGCTGTGGCCCCAGGGGCAGGCAGCAGGAAGCAGCAGCGGATGGGGGCGTTTGCTCTGAAACCAGACTCGGGAGGAACTTTGCCTCCGAGGGTCCCTGCGGAGTGCAGAGGATCCCTGTAGGTGCTGGGTTAGACAATTCACACCGTGAGAGGTCAGGACCCACCGTGGGAAGTGCTGCTTGGGTTCCAGGGTGAATTCTCCTCCGTTTGTCACCACTCTGGCCACAGTGGGCAGGTCTCTGCAGTGCTGTGGGTTCTGTCGCTGCAGCTACGCCGATACGTTTTTGTGCATTCATATAAAGAACAAAAAAAAAATCTAAAATATACATTTTATTTTTTAAACTTATTAAATATTCTTTAAAGTTTATCGCAGAACGTCTTTTGTATTCTTTGTAAAGAATATACAGTCTCTCCAGGGAGTGTGTCCATACCCACAGATGTGTGCTGCACGTGCACACAGGGAGTGTACCCAGTAAAACCACAGCAGTGGTTTTTTTTGGTCATTTCTCTTTGTCTTTCCCTTGACCCAGCTTTCCTTATTGATTTTTTTATTATCATTTAAGTGTTTTACCCATTCCCAGGTGAACTTAAACCCCCTTTTGCTTCCTCTTAAGGGCAACCTGAAATGATGTGGTAGTTGATAATAATTCAGAAAATACCTGGAGGTCAGGTTTACAGTAGGACAAAATAGCCCCCAAGCCAATCCTTGTCTGGTACTGATAATTTTGAAACAAAAAGTCTTCTTTTTTTGAGGTAGTTTTGCTTAGATTCAGAAATTATATGGAAAAACTTGGACAATTAACTCCTCTAAGCCAGGTGCACTCTGAGCAGCACCACAGGCACGTGTGCTGTGGAGAGGCTCAGGGTAGCTGTGGCCTCAAATGGAGACCCAGAGGTTTTGGAGGTGGTGGCAGGAAAGCTCCCAACAGGTAACCCAGCCCTTCGGTGGCAGGTCTGGCAGCTCCCTCTGCTCAGCAGCTGTGTTACAGGAGTTCTCTTCAGCCCTTGAAGTGCACCACTAGATGGTCTCATTAACCACATCCACCCCTAATTGCTTTCTGAGTGGTGAGCCCTTCAGCCTGACAGTGCAGCAAAGCTCATCGTGTGCCCACAGAACCCTTCTGATGCAGGGCTCAGCACGGGGCCTTCCAGCTTCATTCATCCACCACGGGTCCTGTGCTTGGCAACGCTGACTTCAGGATTCTTGCAGCTCTACAACCTTCACAGCTCCCAGTTTGTCTGAATTTGTCTTTCCACTAAAGCCTAAACCTCAAGCAGAGCACGCTATTGATCTTTTTCCAGCTCCCATTGTTTGAAAGCACACAGCCATGCAGCTTCCCCCAGCAGCCAGCCCAGCTCAGTTGTCTTCTGCTTTTTGAACTACACGTTGGCATAGCCCAGGAAGTTCCTATTTTAATCCACAACTAACCTACGATTTCAGCTGCTCTCCTTTCCTGCTGTTTCAGCTGCTCTCCTTTCTTAAAGATGTTTAACACAACCTGGTAGCATCAGGCTGTGTTACACAACACAAAGCACCTTCTGGCAGCATGGGGATAATTTTT